ACATGAGCCAGCAGTGTGCCCAGGTGGCCAAGAAGGCCAGTGGCATCCTGGCCTGCATCAAGAACAGTGTGGTCAGCAGGAGCAGGGCAGTGATCCTTCCCCTGTACTCTGCATTGGTGAGGCCACACCTTGAGTATTGTGTTCAGCTCTGGGCCCCTCAGTTCAGGAAGGACATTGAGGTGCTGGAGCGGGTCCAGAGAAGAGCAACGAGGCTGGTGAAGGGACTTGAGCACAAGTCCTATGAGGAGAGGCTGAGGGAGCTGGGCTTGTTTAGTCTGGAGAAGAGAAGGCTTAGAGGTGACCTCATCACTCTCTTCAACTACCTGAAGGGAGGTTATAGACAGGTGGGGGTTGGTCTCTTCTCCCAGGCAACCAACAACAGGACAAGGGGACATGGGCTCAAGCTCTGCCAGGGGAGGTTTAGGTTAGATGTTAGGAAGAAATTCTTTACAGAGAGGGTACAGCCTACCCAGAGAGGTGGTGGATTCAGCATCCCTGGAAGTTTTTAAGCAGAGATTGGATGTGGCCCTTAGTGCCATGATATAGTAATTGGAGTTGGATCAGGGGTTGAACTTGATGATCTTGAAGGTCTTTTCCAACCCAATCTATTCTATGATTCTATGATTCTATGATTTTGAGATGGGGGAAAAAAAAAAAAAAAAGAGCACTGGGAAAGTTATAACCAGCTCTGATTTTTGTAGCAAAATGCTCCAGTTCCATTTGGTTGCAATAATTTGATGGCTTACTCCAGTCATTCCTGCCTCCTCATCCTTCCCCTGTACAGCCCACTGAGTTAGTGTGTCACAGGCAAAATCTCAAGTGTTCTTAGCTTCTGTATCATATACCCACAGGTGTTGGCTGTAATTGTTGTCCCTCTGTTCAGCCGTGGGCCTTAGCTAAGACTTCCCATCAAATGCTTTTTAAACATGGGCTCACCCCTCTTTTTATTACCACAGGCCCTGGACTGGCTTTCCTCGCCTACCCACAGGTTGTCACACAGCTGCCCCTGTCCCCTCTCTGGTCAGTCCTCTTCTTCTCCATGCTGATGATGTTGGGTCTGGATAGCCAGGTGAGACAATCCAGGCACGAAGTGGGGTAAGATACAAAAATATCTTCAGATATGATGGTGGTGCCCCTTCCTGCACCTCTGGATGGTGCTGAGCAGGGTGGTTTTTCAACTCTTAGTGGTGAAATACAACTGCATGAAACAAAACCTCCTGTGTGGACATCACCTTTGTGCTCTTCCCTAATGTAGGCTTATACTGTCAGATGGAATCTGGCAACTTCCCAGTACACCAGTCGTTGTCCTGCTGCCCATTAAAAATGAGATCAATGATCAGCTTCCAGCAGCCCAGCAGAACCAGTCAACCCTATCAGATATTCACCACTTTCCTCTAGGGGGAGAGGACCTTTGGCAAGCTTTTCTCCGTTCACACTGATTTTTGCCCCTGTGGCCAAGTGCCAGTGCTGCTTGCAAGCACACAGCCTGTCCCCACCTTGCTGGGTCACCCTGGCAGCTGAACCTCACAGGCTCTAAGCAAACCTAGTGGGAAACTAGTCCTGCCAAGATAATTTGCATCATGGGAAAAAGGGAAGACTTTTTTCAAGTAATAACTGCTTTGTTCTTGTAGGACGTGACTCCCCCTTACTCCCAATATAGGTACAGGAAATAAGGGAAATCAGTATGAACTGTTTTGTTTCATGCTTGCATGATGGTAGTTTGTGGTCATCTCAGCTCTCTTGGTGTTCTGTGAGAAGGTTGGATGCTTGGAGTTTTCTGTCACCTTGACCAAACTGCATTTCCTGTGAGGCAAGAGAATGTCATTACTTCTGCTTTTTTTCATAGTTTAAGGGTAGAAGGCCTCCGTGTTCCCTACTCCCAAGAGCCAGAGGCAGCATCTGGGGAGGGGTTATCATTGCCTGGAGGAGAAGACTGGGCAAAAACGAAAGGAAAACAAGCTCTTAAAAAGCACAACTAAATACACGTGAAATAGCTTTCTGTCTGCATGCTGGACCTCTGATTCATTCAAACACACCAGCAACAGCGTGGCAGCTTCTGCATATAAAACAAGTAACGCAGGCTGCGACAATGTCTGCAATTCCATGTGAATTTTGAAGCATTTAAAAAAAACAAGGGAAACAAAATATGAAAAGAAAAAAAGGAAGAAAATATCTTTTTGTTATGTGCTGATTTCATATCCTCTCTGGTATTTGCAGATGGGGAGCAGGCATTTTTATTTGGGTGAGCAGCCCATTCCGTGAGGCGCAGCGGGGCCATAGGATATTTCTTGCACCCTGTACCCCCAGGACTGCTGGGCTGAGGATGCCCCTTGTCACCAGCAGGGCACGGCTCTCTAGGCACAAGCAGAAACGCTCGGAAGTCCAGCCTAGTGAGGGGAGGTCGGGCTGAGATATGTGTTTGCGAAGCACCAACAAGCTCCAACCCTTTAAGGACTGCGGGAGCAGGTCCAGTGCGTCTCCTGTTGATGCGGCACAGCCACATTTGCTTCTTTCTGCCAGGGTGCTCATCTCATCTGGAGTTTCTTAAATAGGATGAGTGACCTATACTGATGGACATGCACCTCCTTCCTGTGCCCCCACTTGCCGCTCGTGTACCTTAATGTTCACTGCTCTCATCCATCCAGGCTTTTGCTCCTCTTGACTCTAGACCCTCTTACATAATATGCTAATAATTTCTTTTAACCTGCCAGTTTCCAGGTCAGCCATTCATTCCTCAGGGGACCTAGCAAACCTTGTGACTGCAAGCCTGCGTCTGTCCCATGTGAGGCCTCCTCTCACAGGTTATTCATGAGGATTTCCAGCTGCCAGCAGTGAGACCACTCATGGTTCTCTGGCTGCATATCTGTGGTCAAGCTCCCCACACGTCCTAAACCCCATGAGCTTACTTCATTGATGCTGTATTTTAACAAAGTTTAACTCAAAAATATCCCAGTCCGGGTGCTCTGTGTGGCTGAGGAGGGAATAGCAAGCCCTTGACACAGGGAGAGGGTGGGAGAGGGACTTAAGTCTTGAAGGGAGTAAACAGCAAAAGACATAAGTTAATGGCAATAAAATATTTAGGAAAGAGACAATATCATGGGGTGAGGCATGAGAAAGAACAGAGTATGTGCTAAAAATTGTGTCTGGAGGAAGTTAGGGGGAAACAAAATTTTTTGGAAAGCAGACTGAAGTGGCAAGAACAGGAGGCACCCCAATGCCCAGATCCTCACCAATCTTGAAAGTAGCATATTTGCACTCATATGAAATACCTACTTATCTCATGTGAGGAGTTAAGGTTTGGTATGCAGGCCTGGAAAATGGGCCCCATGCAGCCAGGGAGTCACAGTCCACAGGACTGGAAAGGTGAACCTCCTCCAAGTTATATCCCTTCTGAAACCTGAGGCTGGTATGAGGCAAATTTCAGTAAATTTAATTTCAGGAAATGAAAAAAAAACGGGCCATTGCCTGTTTTATGGCTAGAAAAAGCAGTGTACCACCACCTGTTTCACCACCTTGCCCATTACACAGCAGCTTCATTTTGATAGGAGACAAAGAGATTTCTATTCACTTTGTAACCCTGTTTCTCATCACCCAACTCCATGTATTTCCCTTTATGCTTTCCCTGATGTGATCCTTCTTCCTGCACCAAAGGGCTGACAGGAATACACCATACCATTATCTGAGGCATCATATTCTTCACTCCTTCTCTGCTGGACACCACCCTCTACCCCTGACCACCCCTAGTCCCTCTCCAAATCCATTTCCCTCTCTGGTCTGAGATCTCCTGGCCCTGCCCATGGCTCCGGCGGTGCCTGACCGTGTATCCACGTGGAAAGAAAAGCTTTCGACAGTGTTTTTTTTGTCATGCTCTCTTCACACTGTAGTGCCAGTTCAGTCCTGACTCTTCCAGACAACAAGCCAGGTGGGATTGGGTGAAAAGCTCGCTGTCAATGAGAATAAAGGCAGCTTAACCCACGCGTGAATGACAAAAGATTCTTTAATGGCACTTGTGTCCAACATAAAAGGCTGAGCTCATTAAACATTCAAGCTGAAGAAGTTGAGTTTTAAAGCTCTGGGAAAAAAGTTGAGCTTTAAAGCTTTCCATGTGGATATAAAACCCTGGGCAGGCACATCGCCCTTTACCTTTCTGTGTCCCATGTGGAAACCAGCCCCAGCAACCAGTGATGTGCAAGCTCTTCTAAAATCCGTGCCCAGCTGTAGACATGGCTCAGGCTCCTCACTTTTCTTCCATAGAGCTTTCCAACCCTCTGCTGCTCTTTTTAGTCGGTATACTTCCACTCTGGGTGTTTTTTTCTTCTTAAGGACAGGGAGGTATGTGACTCCCAAGGGTGATGAAACCTCTTTCATTGCATGGGCTTGTATATTTGCTCAGAGTGACTGGGGAAGCCGGGAATTGGCTGCTCTCATTAATTCCCAGGATTTCTGCTAGAGGCATGATGTGCTCTCTGGGAGTGGGTATGTTTCCTGTAGTTTCCGGGAGCGAGACGTAAAACTAACTCTCACAGTTTATCAGGAAATAAGAGGGAAGGATGCATTTTAATATATATGGTCAAACTGTCCTTGTGCCAGAAGGCAAAACTAGCAGGAAAATGGATTTGGAGGTAGCAGTCACGGGGAATGCGTTGTGGTGAACTCAACATATACTGTGCCTTGTGTAGTGCTGCACGAGCCACCCAGGTGTTTCCACTTCCAGAAAGATGCTGTGCTGTGAGGATGGGCTTTGGATGTGCCAAGTGCATTTAATGTGGTGTACTCAAAAAAGAACCGGGTAGTCAGAGAGGCTGTAGTTATTCACGTGCACTTGAGGCTGGGCAGTGGGTAATGCAGCTCCTTACTGAGTGTTTTAGATCACTGAGCAGCAAAAGTGCTGTTGACAAAAGTTGGGAAGAGCATATATGGGAAGGGACACAGAGCCTGGCAACGTGGGGGAGTAGGACAGTGAGGGGGGAGGCCCCAGAGAGTTTGTGGGAAGAAAGGAGGGGCTTTTCACAGGAGACAAAAGACAGAGATTTATCTCAGCTGTTTTTAAGTATTTTACTTCAATGTTTTTAGCTCCGTCTGTATTCAGTGAGAGTCTGCAGAGAGTTCTTAAATCAATGAGGTTCTCAGCATTGACATTAGATGTGAGTGGGAGTTATATCAGACTATTTATATGTATGTCCTTGGTGTATATCTTTTCCCATAGTTCTGCACGGTGGAAGGGTTCATTACAGCCCTGGTGGATGAGTATCCTCATCTCCTAAGAACCAGGAAGAAGACCTTCATCGCAGTGGTCTGTTTCATATCTTATCTCATTGGATTCTCCAACATCACCCAGGTACAGAATGCTCTTTTTGTGCCTCCGTTCATGACACCTTTCTAGGCACTTTGGCATAGCACAGGAACTCCACAACTTTGGAAGAAGTGACAGCATTTCTCCTAATGCCTAATAAAAGGGTTTGCTCATCACTGCTCAGGGACGGTGAAGACTGAGTGATCTGTAGATCATTTGTGGATTACTGGAAGTTCATGAGGAGGCAAGGCAAAACGCCTGGGAAGGACAGAGCAGACTAAATTCAGCAACTCTGTCTAAAGCAGAGAAGTATAAGAGATCTTAATGAATTTCTGGTTTTCTTTTCACCCTTGGGTATGCCTGAACAGGCTGGCTAATTGTCTGTAAGAGCACATCAATTTTGCTGCTGGGAACCAGACTCCAGTAGAAACATTGCAACACTAGCTCTACTGTTCAAGGAAATTAACATTAAAGCCAACAGACACGGACTGTAGCAATCGAAGCTGATGGCTGATATTGTCGATCAAAATCTATAACTTAACTCTGTTTTTTTCTCCTCAGGGTGGCATTTATGTTTTCAAGCTGTTTGATTACTACTCAGCCAGTGGCATGTGTCTTCTCTTTCTTGTCTTCTTTGAGACCATCTCAATTTCTTGGTGTTATGGTAAGCACAGAACACCTTGTTCATTTGTTTCTTCCATGGCCATGGTGAGTTATTATTTCAAAAGCCTCTAGCAGTGAAGCCAATGACAATTTTGCAACTTAAAATAGCTTAGACTGGTAAGCCCAGAAAATCAGGAGTGGAAGGCTGTCATCTCTCTTCTCCAGCCCATCACAAAGATTTCTGCACAAACTGACAGATACCTGTGGTACTTTAGTCTGGACTTTCAAGGGGACACCAGGAACATGGATGATGTTAGCAGGGATTTGCTTTTGTGTCCCAGTACCTTATCCCCTCCAGAAAATGCATCTCATGCCCCTTGCTGTAACTGGTCTGTGCTGTGTCATGAGAAGTTGTGTTGACCATGGTGCTGAGAGTGGATGGTTTTTTCAATGCTCATTTCTTCTTGTAGGTGTAAACAGATTTTACAGAAACATTGAAGAAATGATTGGCTACAAGCCTTGCATCTGGTGGAAGATCTGCTGGGCCTTCTTCACACCTCTTGTCTGCCTGGTAAGACCTGGGGTATCCTATCTGCAGGTGTGCGTCAAGAAGGGCCTCTCAGTTTGGATGGACTGTAGGGGAAACAATATATTTTCCACACAGTATAAGGTTGGTGCAAGGTGGACCCAGGCAGACCTGAGACAGGCAAAGTAATACAGGAGCCTCTTTCACCCTGTCTGCTAGAAGTCACACATAAGAAAAATTCTAGGTGATTGTTTTAATCTAAATGAGGCCATCAGTTCTTCATTCTTCTTTCTGAGGTGCCAGAAGATAAGCAAAAAAATTTACTGTTTTAAAAAGCTATTATTGGTTCTGCTGAAGGTCCTTAGCTACTCCAACACCAGCTTCAGCACTTGACAGGCTTGTCAGAGCAAAAATTATCAGCAAATGGAGGATAATTGACTGTAGGGCAATCGACCTTTGCTGATTCTTGCGCTTCCAGCAGAAGTAGTGTAGGGAAGGGTGGGATAAGGCCAGTGACAGGAGGATGAAGAGTTCTGAAGTCAATTGTGCGGATGCTGTTAACTTGCTTAGGAACTGCTTAGACAAGCACCGCTTGTCTAAGTAGTCTAGTGAAGAAGGAAATCAAAAGTATTCCAGTTCCATTTTTTTACATTGGATAAGGAGAATTTATTTCAGAGTACCAGTTGGTGGTATGAAAGAACCCAGACTTGTTTAAAGAGTTGTTCTGTTGCTCTAAGACTTTTGGGAACTAAGAGCATAACGAAGGAAAGAATGGATGGAATCTGATTTTGCATGCCTTCCACCTGCAATGTCTGGTGCTCTTTTCCCAGGGTGTGTTCTTCTTCAGTGTGGTGGAAATGACCCCTCTGACACTGGGAAAATACATCTATCCTGCATGGGGACAAGGCATTGGTTGGTTCATGGCTCTGTCCTCCATGGTACTGATTCCAGGATACATGCTGTACTGTTTCTTCACCTCAAAGGGCACTCTCCGGCAGGTATGAACAACTTCACCCCTCCTGCTCTCTGCTTAGAATAGGTGTGTCTGGCTGAGGCTGATCATGTAGGCAGACCTTCAGGTAGTGTACACTTTAGTCTGTTGTTCCTCACTGAGATTTGTGTTGTCACCATCACAAAAAGGGAACTCTCCCCCCTGGAATATCCCTTTGGTGCAGAGGACTGGAGCAGTGGAAGAGAATGGCAAGAAATCTTTGAAGTTTCTTTAGCCAGAGGAATGCAAGTTCTTGACGGTCCTTGGCTATGAGCATGGTTACCTAGACGATTCTCAGCAGAGAGATCAGCATCCTTCAAGCACGGATCTTGAAGCATCTTAGACTGGGACCTGTTAACAATTGAGACAAGCACAGTGGTATTTTGGCAAGTCCACTCAGTGACTGAGGGGTTAAGAAGAAAGGAAGAATTTTATGCAGGACCCACAATACCCACTAGTCATGTTTAAAACGTTTTCTTTAGTAATTTGAGCAGGAGTTTATGTAGCAGTCAATCATAAGTCTGTATGTCATACCTAGTACTTCTAAGATTTTATTTACAGTGTTGATATTCAGTCTTGAGAGCACTGTGCAAAAAGTCCCTGGCTCGGTGCTGTCTCCTGCAAACTACAGATGTAAGAAGTCACCCAAGGGGTGCTCATTTATGGCTTTCCTAGCCCAGCTGCAATAGCAACCAGACTCCATTTAAAAACCCCATGAGCTTACTTCATTGATGCTGTATTTTAACAAAGTTTAACTCAAAAATGTTTTGACTGGAATTACTGGGCTGAGGTCAACTTCAAGTTCTCTACCTCTGAGGTCAAGTTGCAGGTAGATTTCAGTTTTCTTCCTCCCAGGTTTCCATTTGGATGTGCTTTAATATGGGAACTGAATGAGTCTGGGGTCCCAGATCTGCTTTCAGATCTGGTCTCTCATCAGAAGCTGGGTTTAAGAACTTCTCATTGGTGTTGAGATTCGCCTTGACATTCCTGCAGAACTCAAACAATGATGCTGTCAAGTCACTTTGGTGATCTTGGGTTGAAGGCCAGCAGCAATTCCAACAGTAGCTCCTTTCTCAGATATTTAGAGGGTTCCTTATTCCCTCATTATATGAGCTGGAAAAGGGGAGAAGGAAAGCTTGAAGTACAGATATGTGGTTAACCCTTTGCCTAGTCTCAGTCCTCTTTCACTAGAGATGGAGGTAGCACATCCCAGCACCTGAGAGAGCTCAAGCTGGTCTGAGGTCTCCCAGGAGTAGCACAACTCCTTCTGAAAAAGGGTTTGTACTAATTATACACATAGCAAGAGAGGTAACACCAGCACTTGCAAAGAGCTAGGGACTCCTGTGCCACCCCAGGGCCTGGAGGGCAGCTCATGAGCAGGTTTCCACCCACCCCCTCCGCATCTTGTGCAAACCAGCAATGCTAGCAAGCAGCGTGAGTGGCTGATGTGTACCCTCCCTGTCTGGCTCTTCCACTAACATCATGAGACCCAGACCCCTCTGAATCATTCGAAGGCCCAGGAGTAAGCAGCAGATGGCACCAGGAAGAAAGTAGGCTAATCTGTGCATTCGTGTGTTAGTATCTTTGTAATCAAAAATAGTTTGAAAATGGGTCTGCTCTGAAGCCTGTGACAGTGCAGCTACTCTTGGCTTGGTAACAGTTTGTCTGTGTTACCAGGATGATTCCTCTATTTCAGAAAAAGGAGGAGCTGCTGTGCCGTGTGTGGCATCAAAACAAATGTGACTTGCAGAGGTTTTTGGAGGACTGCTGAAGGGTGCTGGGGGAATTACTCCTGCTGCATGCACCATCCTCTCGCCCTGTAACTAAGATCCCCTCTAGGCTTGGGGTGAGGAGTCCCAACCCTCAGCTGCTGACATGCCCTGGCTGTCCCACTGCTGCTGCCTCCAACCCCTGGCTGACACACTTTCTCCCTTCATTCCTGGGCAGCGTTTGCAGCAGATGACACAGCCCAGAGCAGAGGTGCAAGTGCAGAACAACGGCTCCCAGCCAAAGACGTCCTTGAATGGGAAAATCCCGGATGCCGCTGTATAGGAGGAAAACCCGAACGTACTCGCCCTCTCCCGTAGCTGCTCGCTCCACATTGTCTCTCGAGCTCCTCCGGCACAGCTTCATGTCCCTGGCTCCACGATGGCTTTCACTTGTTGAAGAGAGGACCTGGTGGAGGAACCTACTTGTGTCCCTCCTGGCCTGGTTACCAAGGCCCTGAACAAGCTGTCACAGGGCGTTTTGCGGTGATCATCTTCATCCTGCAACATCCTGGTCCAGGCTACCAGGGAGGAGCAGGTCGTGCCCACGCCTTCCTCCTCCCGAGGAGAGGTGATGTCCCTAAAGAACTTTGTCTGTTGTACACTTCTTTGCTTTTCTTGCCTTTTCCATGTGAAACTCTGCAGAGCGCACCACAGCACATAGGTGTGCTTTCCTCCCACAGATCTTGCTGACACCGGGTTCAAGTCGCAGGTGGATGTTGATTTATGGAGCATAAACCAACACTAACAAAAAACTGGAGGGGGTATGCAGAAAAAAGGATACTAGGGCAGAACAAAGGATTCTAGTGAGGAGTCCAGCATGCTGGTAGCTGTAGGACACCACCCCAAAACTGGCGAAGGGCTTAAGGACAACATGTGCTTCTCACAGGTGCCATGTTTTAGCCCCAGGCAGTCTCCAGTTGTGTTCCCTGCATCCATTAAGGCTGACTCTGAAAGTCAAAACCCTGCAGAGCAGGCAGCCTTCTTCTTCTAAAATGCAGCTAAAAGGATAGGTGAAGAGCTCTTTGCTAGAGGCTGTCAGAATCTCCTACACTGACCACTCTCTACTACAACCAGCTTTGTGCAGAGGCAAGAGGTCCACCATGGGATAGAGAGATTTTTCAGGACCCCCCCAACAAATCTCCCCCAGCTGGAAAAGGGTAGTTCTTGCCAAACACCCCCCCCGGCTGCATCCCTGGGTGGGAAATAATAAGATGCAGCATAGTGGCCATGAAAGGTTTAGTTTATACCTTTTCCGTGAAGTGGCAACACCCACATCCTCAGGAGGTCAGTGCAATGTAGCCCCCCTGCTTAAACCCATCTCTGTGAACTAGTGCTGCCTGCCCTTGGGACCCGCCAGTGCATGAGGCCAACCTGCTCTTCTTCCAGCCTTCCAGCCTGAGAATTAGTAACAGAAAGAGGAAAGAAGTTTTCTGGTTGAAGCTGAAGTCAGTCCCCTTTGGGGGTGGGTCCCCTACCAACTTGCCAATGCATCTCAATCAATGTTGCTTCAGATGTGAAACCCATTTTTATTTGTGCACGTGGCTCTTAGTAGTTGTGGCTGCCAGGCTTTGAGTGTGTTTTGTGATCTCCAACACCCCGAGCTGGGATTATGCCCTGTTCCATGTGTAATCATTTGGGTGTTTGCGTCAAAAAATCACAGCTGTTAAACAGATATGAGGAAACACTAAATTTACAGGCTTGATCTCATAAAGCCGAAAGCCAAACACTGAAAGCTGAAATCGTAGCTCATCACAATCTCATCACAGACATGTCATCTTTCCTTGTCCCTTAATTGTTTGCGCTAGTACAGCTGAAAATTTCTGTTCCAATTTCACCTATTTTTATGAACCAGGGCAATAAAGGAAACCACTCTTTTTAAACAGAGGGACATCTGTGCTGAAAATAAATGTTAATCCTCTGATATTTGCAGTAACGACCTTTACAAAAAACCTACTTTTTGCCTGTGTATTCACGTCACATAACCTCCCTCTCCTGAAATGCAAGACTGCGCAGGCAGTTGGTGGACAGAGGAGTCAGTTCTTGAGAGAGGCCTTGAAAACAAGGAAGACCTCGGTTTTTTCAAATTTCATTGCGGCAGCTCAGATCTGAGGCAGAACAAATCAGTGTCAGGAGGGATTTTTTAAACACGACCGAAGAGTTCTATTGCTGTGAGTGTTGTTCAAAGGTTGTTCCTCAGATGGAGAGGAAAGGAAGGGTCCAGAAAACAAACTCCCTTCCCTGGTGGCTGAGAAATTTGTAACTCCCCAAATCCTATTTGCTAGGATTTTATCCCCAGCATCTCTCTGACTTGTAACCTTGAATGTGGGTCATCATTCCAAGTGTAGCAGCAGGGGCTACCCCATATTTGGACTGCTCATAATAACAGTATTTAATGAGATTTAACCATTTGTTCAGTTTCCTTCTCCTTTGCTCTCCCTCTTGCACTTCTCCATTTTATTTTCTTTTCTCACTTCTTCTCCACTATGATCCATCCAGTGGAAATAATCTACCTCAGTTTACTTCTTCCTGCTTTTTCAGTTCCAGTATAGTACTCCCTCCTTTCTCTTCTCCTTTCCGTTCTTTCTTCATTTCTATCTCTTTCTATTATCCCCAACCTCTCTTCCCTGTTTCTCTCATGTGCTCTCCTTCCAGCCTTGTTACTTATTCCTGTGTGCCTGTGACTCAGCTGGTCACTGCGTGCATGCTCAACCCTTCTGCCCTTGAAAACTGGAGTTCAGGACCTCATGGAGGAGCTCACCTTTTCAGAGCCTCCACTCCCTAAGAACAAATTTGTACCCCAATACCAAAATTGTGATGAAGTTCCAGAAGTCTTTTCCTCCTCTTTGCACCAGAAAACACTATGCCAAACTCTCTACTTCTTGGTATTACTGGAAAGATATTTTAACCCACATTCCACCAGTGTCCACAGAACTGTGCCTGTTCTGAAAGATTTTGTGGCCTTTCCAGGTTTTTTTGCACCATTTTATTTCCACTATGAATGTTTGGATTTGTGAAGTCTGGCATGCAAAACTACAGGTAGGAATCTGTCCTTAGTCCTTAGTCCTTAATCAAGCTCTGTCTGGTTGACTGATCCCCTTCTTCTGCATTTCAAACTCATCCCTAGCACCAGAAGAGTGTTCCCATCTCCCTTACTCACAAGTTTCCCATCTAGTGAGAGGTCGGGGCGGTGATGGCTCCCCTTGAGTTCCTCCCACACCTCTGAAATGCCACTATGGCCAGGTCCAGCAAAGTAGCCATATCTGCACATTGTCTTTTTGACATCAGGCTTTGGATACTGATTACTCCATGCCAGTGAGTCATCTGTAAGAATGGGTTTTGTGCTGTTTCTATGATGTTTCGCTTCTGCTGACCACCCCTCTCCTCCTCGTTCCTTTGGACTCACCCAGAAGAGGGGATGCATACATAGCTGGGGGGTGGGATGCTCCCTTCTCCCCTCTGCAGTGATTCAAAAAGGGACATTGCTCCCCTGTGCTCACATACAAAACTCCTGCTTTTTGTCTCGCCCCTCACCTCCCCAGCACCTGCTAGCCTCTCCCTCCCACCACGGGCAGCTGCCTGAAATAATCCTCTGTGAAACCTCTTAATTCTAAGGAGCTATTTAGGGAGCTGTGCTCAAATCCCTCTGAAATCCTCTTTTTCCTGAGGGCTGCAAAATATAAAATAAATTCTACTGCCCCTCTGCTGCAGCAGGGGCTGAGGTGGGCCTTGGGGAAGGCAAGATTGTTTCATTGCTCCTGAATTGCTGCTTCCTCCGGAGATCCAGATGTGATCCTCTCCCCTGGGAGAGGGGAGCTCTGCCTGCTACCGTTCTCCCAGGTGTGCTCCAAGAGTTGGCAGCTGGACGCTGGTGGTAAAACACATGTGCAGTGTCTGTGACAAGATCCTGATGCTGTGGAGGGCTTCTGCTAGCCGACCATCGTGTAGACTGTAGTGTCTTCACAGCTCTGTTACATGATGTGCTGGGCACAGTTGTGCTGAGCATCAAGAGGTGCCCTTAAAGCAGGTGTCATTCCAGATGAGCAACTTGTCTTTATTCCTCGCCTGTCCCAAAAGGATTCTCTCGGGATTGGAGGATCCTGGTTACATTTGGTGATGGTCGAATGGGGAGGGGGTCTGCACCACCAAGGGGCATGTCCAATGTGGTTTTGCTTTTACTGATGGCTACCAGCTTACACCGAATATTGCCTGCTTTCCTCAAGACCTGAACACGTGAAACATGGTGCTCAGTACTGGATGTCGGTACTTGCACTGGAGGGAGGTCTCATGGTGCACTTCTACAGCTTGGCCTTCCTCTCCTGACATCTGATCCTGCCTCTGTACAACTCCAGATATTGGTCAGAGTCCACCTGAGCAGTTCAAGGTAGGAAGAAATAGCCTGGAAATTCTGAAACCTACTAATGACACCTGGTAGCTTTCAAAACTGTGTGCAAGGACCATTCTGATCATTTCACCCCTCAAAGCCCTTGAAAAAGCAAGAGAAGATATGCCAAGGGAGGGTTGAAAGACGGAAGCTACCATAAGGGGTGGCTACCATCTCCACTCCACCACCTTGGCCACTGAGGCAGTCCTTGGATCAGGTACCTGTCACTTCTTCCTCCCTTCTCTGCTTTGCATCTTCTTGCTTACCCACCTCACATTCTCTCTTCAGGAAGAGGCTTGCCTGCCCATGTCAGTTTTCTCTCCTCCTTAGCCTTGCTCTGCACCTCTCCGTCCCAAATTGCTGGACAGACGTGCCTGTTGCTGGGCCAGGGGGTGGCCAGGGCAAAGCAGTCTGGCAGGAAGGGGTGGGCAGGGTCTGAACGGAGACTGGGGCACTGGGCCCTTTCCTACTCACTCAGATACCCCTGTCCAGCTCTATGGCTCCTTCCTTCACCAGAGCTTCTCACTCTCTCTGTTAGCAGTGCTCCTTTCTGGCACGGGAATCCAGTGCTGTTTCATAGTCATCTAATAGGGATGTCAGAGATTTTCCCCTCCCCTACTGACAGCCCTCCACAAACTCACAGGAGGCGAGTAACAAGTTACCAAGGGCACTGTGAAAGCAAAAGCCACAACACTGCACAGTCCAAGCATTTTAAGATCTTTCCTCCAATTTCTATGTCTTTATTCCGACGTTAAATTGGTATTTGCCATCAGAGGTCCATGCAGGTGTTGGACCTGCTCAGAGTTGTGTGGCAGCTGTGATGTTATCACCCTGGCCCTTGGGGTTTGTTCTCCCTCTCAGGAGCAGCTCCCAGGACTTCTGTCCCTTCCTGCAGCATATCAAGTGCCCTACCCAGCATGTGTCCCTGTGTGTTCTCTCTTGTGACCCAGGGGTGTGCGTCAGGAGGGCTGCCTGGGGAACTGTGTGGTGTTTCCCCTGGCTTTAGTGCTTGGCTGGCACATCCCAGGGGACTGAAACCCATGTGCAGCTGTTAACCACTGGATAAGGGGATTTGAACCACAATATAAAACCATGGGGGAAACCCAGGAGGTGGTCCTGGACAGACCCTGGCAAGTGGCAGGGGATAGGGTGGCATCCAGTGTCCCCATTACAGCCCTGCTTGAGGCATTTTTTCCAAGGGCAGCATTGGGCTCCTGCCAAGCACGTGACCATCATCCCTGTGATGCTGTCAGCTGGGAAATGCCCGTGTCTGGAGATGCTCAAGAGAGGTTAATGCTCCCCATACCGATACCTGACAACCATGACACTGATGGAGATGACTCCTGACAGCCTGGCATGATGCCGCTGTGCTGCCAAGAAAACAACACCAGCATTCTCCAGGATCCCAGGGACCAGCCACGGGCCCACATGGGGTTCCATGTGTCCCCACCCCAGCTCCTGGGGACCGGCAAATCTCACCCACACAGTTGCAGCCCTGTGAGGACTGGCCATGGAGGGATTTATCCTGAC